CCAGCAGGACTCGCTTCGCCTCTCCACCTACTCGCAGCAGCCAGGGACCCTGGGCTACCCTCCTCCCGCACCCTCGCGCCCTCCCCGAAGGCTCAGCAGCCTGTCTGAGTCCTCAGGCCTCCAGCAGCTACCCCGGTAGTGCCCTGGCGCCTCAGTTGGGTCACATCAGCTTTAACCAATGGACGGTCGAGGGGGGGATGGCCAGGGAGTTGGGGAGAAGAGTTTAAAGGACACCCTGGCTTTCGTGCGCACCGCATCCGTTTCAGAGCTCCTGAATGGTGACAACGTCTGAGCACAGCGGCCGGCCCGTGGAAGTGGGCAGGGACACTGGCCGTGTTTCCCTGTCCCTGCACTTTACGGCCACAGTCTACAGCCATACCTGGAAGGGACCGCGGTCCCCACGGGAGTGCATCACTTAGTTCACCTTAGTGACGGCTCATCTCGCTGCATCCTGCCCCCGCCCCTGGAGCGCGCCGGTCACTCCCACCGCTGCCGCCCGTGCGCACGTGCTCATTGGCCTGCGCTCTCTTGACTCTCTTTCCTCTGCGTTGGAGAAGCACCGGGTCAGGGATTTGTTGAAGAGAGAGAATAAAGAGATGATTTTTTTCGTTATTTCTAGATGATTGCTTCTGTTTTAATTTGCACAGCTGCACAAGGAGATAACTTAGGCACCTTCCTTTCTTAAAAATACTGTCTCCTCTCATGACTTCATTTGGAGACCCCAGTAACAAAAACAGCCCCCCAATCAGATGGCAAAGCTGGTGGTCAGTCACCAGGCTGCAGCACCACACCCTCCGGCCTGACCCTAATGGAATAAGGCTTTTCACCCCACACCGTTCCGGTGGGGTTTGGTTTGGATTGGTTTGGTTTGGGGTGTTTTATTTGCCCCCGAATATAACACTGGACTGTTTCCTGTTTACTTTGGCGATTACAACCACGAAGGCGGACTCAAAGCAAAGCACAATCTCGTAGCTGACGTTCTGGAATTCTCGTTGAGGACTTGAGGACTGGGAAGGTCTTACCAGCCAGACGGGTCCGTGGAGCGGCAGGTCCCCAGGAAGCCCCATCACGTGCTGGCCCTTGGAATGAGAATGCTGCATCTTTCTACATATCTTTCCTGATAAGACCGAGGATTGGATTTTCCTTTTCAAAATGCACTTTGCTTTTTTTGTATGTTTTGTTATGTTGAGATGTTTCTAAAGAAAAGATTTTATGTAATTATAAGATGATGTGTAGTGAATTGTACAGCTGTTGTAATAAGGACCTATTTCTATATAAAATAAAATTGTATGGATTATGTGTAAATTATTTTGTATCTGAGACACCAGTTCCTTTCCCAAATATAAGAGGATAAAAGTTTTCTTGTGTATTTCTGTGAGTGGACATTTTGTAATAAATTAACAAATTTGTATGATTTCCTTTGGAGGCAGTTTCTGTCCCTTTTTCTAGATGCACGCATACATCTTTTCATCAATAAACTTTTTTTTTTTATTTCAAGATGTTTTTAAGGATAATCAAAGATACGGAAAAGGCGGGAGCCAGCAACAAGTAAGCCGGGTGATGACCTTAGGATTTTTGACTTCAACATGCGCTTCAGCCTGTCGGGACCCTGATCTTCATTTGAGAGATTGTGCCAGAAGAAAACAACAGTTCACTGTAGAAATGACAGCAAAGCAAAGTGACAAAACCAGAAAAAGTTCCTGGAAACATCTCCACCTTAGAGACACAGGTAATCCACGGAGATGGCCAAGCTGTCATCCACCAAAGCAGGCATAGCCCATAGTTAAACTCACCTGGGCTGGAGTTGCATGGGCTCTGCCTGCTAGCACTTGCGCAGGGTTTGTGTGTCTGTGTGGGAGATGTGTGCCCACGTCATGTGGACGGGGGAGATACAGCAATAGCAGACAATCCCCCCCATCCCCGTGAGGCTTCAGCACGCTGGAGTGAGGGTGCCCTGGCACACCGTGATTGAGAATCACTGACATGGCCATGCTCAGCAGAGCCCTTTCTGCAAGCATTGGCCCAAGAGAACTGAGTTCCTTTCCTTGCTCCATCACTGGAGTTCTGTGCTTCTACCTGCTTCCCTGCAAGATAGGGGAAACTCCTCTCCGTTCTCTGGCCAGGATCAGTTTTCAGTGGCATCAGAGTCTGCCAGGTAAGTACATCAAAAGGAGTTTTATTATTCACACAACTGCAATATTCCTGAAAACAGGTAAGTCTAAATATTTTGCATGTATTAGGATCATTTACTCTTTAAAACCCTCATTTTAAAACAAAAAGTCTCTGTGACACTGGATTACCTATTTTGTAATTTAACTGTTTTGTAAATTCAAAGGTTTACAGATCTGATTTTTCTGTAAAAGAATTTGTATTTTAATTGGCTGTCAGAATCTGCACTTCTAAGTAGAACAACTTTTTTAATGGAAACAGCATATTTGTTTTCCTAGGATTTTCTAGCTGGAAGCCATTAGAAAAGGGTGGAGTATGTCACGCTACTAATTTAATTTAGTATTGCTTAAACCTTACACATGTTCAGAGTCTGGATAAACTCAGAAAACTCTTATTGGGTAATAATTCTTTAAACCCACATAACATCAGGGGAAGTTTAATCCCTTAGCTTTTGATTCATTTAATTTTGCTCATTAAAAGACTGTTTTGCAATCCTGTTCTGTTTCGAGAAAAGCCATGACCTTTCTATTTGGAAAACTATAACGTCTTGGCTCTTGAGAAGTGACTGAAATGTGAACTCTGGAATACACCAAGTTTTAGAATATTTTAAACTAACTCGATTAAAATGTGGTATCTTCTGTCTCTAATGGCAACTAACGTCCATTAAATTAATTTAAAATTTTTGTTTATACAGGCAACACGGTGAACTGATCAACTATGAGATCATTCTAAGTCATGACATGTTGGATTCTTGCCAAAATTATCTGGTAAAATGTGGGTGTTGGGTAGAAAATTGCTTCAGTTTCTCTCTTCACTTTATGTGAAGCCTGAAGGTTTTAAAGTCATCCCTTAATAACCTAGACAAATAACTAATTTGGATCCTCCAGAGACATGACATATGTGGCTTTTTGGACACAGACGTATGAATTTCATACAATGCCTATGTGCGATAGTACAAACGACAGCATACTTCTGTATGCATAACATGGTTGATTAATAGCTGAAATATACAGCCTTATGGTATCTGTGAAGCAGCTTTATTTTTCCAGGTGAAAAAAAGCTCATCAGAAAGAAAAAAAAATTTCCTTTAGGATTATTCCCTAAGCAGCCAAGGTCCAGTTATGGGAGAAGCAGGGTAACCCAGCAGCACATTCACTGAAATAATACAGGCCTTAGAATACATACTCCAATATTGGGTTACCACTTTATACACACTTAAAAGGTCCTGAATTTAATTCAGTATGTGACTCAACTTCCTTTAAAACCATCTGCCCCTCCCGAAGTCCCCACCTCTTTCAGTGGAGCCACGACCCCACCACCCATCGACATAAACTGGAAAACTTTATCCTCCATGCTGGTAAATTCCTTTCTGTCAGAGGGGATTTTGTACGTGGAAAGATAGTCACCACTAAGTGTAAGTCATTTAATGTCCAACTGACTGATCTCACAAATGTATCGATTAGAGCATTCTTTTAACCACTAAACAGTCAACATCTCCCTTGTTAATCACATGCTACTTAAACAACAAATGAGTCAATAGTTAGGAATTTACCCCCCAAATTTCCCCAATTATGAAAAGACATTACAAATAACCCTTGTAAGAATTAAAATCTCAAGTCTGACACAGAAGCTTTCTTAAAAGTTCTAAAAGGATCCACAAAATATAACTCTCTCTCTATATATATATCTTTACATCAAAACTGGTTGCAAAATGTGAATATCACAGATTTAACGTGTCTGTATTTTACAACATGCTCATTCTCACACCTTCTCAGCGCTCCAGTTTTAACCTACCGTTCTAGGGTTTCAATAACTCACCCAGTAAAGTTTTTACACCTCCCTAGGTTTAAGGATCGTATCATGCCCTCGCCCCCTCCAAAAGAGAACGCAATTTCTGATCAGCAGACTGAAGGTCCAGAGTTGTGAACCCGTGGGTTTGGCCTGGGGACGCGGGACTTGGCTCCGTAGTCTGTCAACTCACACCCGATCTCCTGGCGTCAGGTTCCTCCCTTTTCATTCTCAAGGTACGTATCTTACATCAGGTGTTGGATAAAAGTGCTGCTTCTGTTGTTATTGGGCCATTTTGTTGTGACAGAGCGAAAAACAGGTATTTCTTTAAGGTCATGAAATCACATTGATTTCTCCAATATAATAGATTGTATATAGTATTTTACTCTCCCTTTCTGAGGTGATTTTGTCAACTACTGTCTCCTAAATTGATACTTCATATAGTCAGTTACAAACTGGCGATTTTGATTTCGAAACACTTCTCGTGCAGGCCTCTGCTCTGCCCGCCTCCTCGCCCCTAGCCCAGGTCCCGCTGCGGCTGATCGCGGCCCCCCACCCAACCCCGAGAGGCTCCCCGGTCCGGGCAGCGAGCCCGCTCTGCCCGACCGGAGCCCCTCCAGGGCGGCAGCCGCGTCAGTCATCTCCGGGCCTCCAGCCGGGAACACAGGGTCAGACACCGCTGGCCGAACCACTGAGCGAGTGGGAAAAACAGAAGAGAGACTTCCCTCTCCGCCACGCTCTCCTCCACCTGGGTACCAAGGTCCGGTTTCCTCTGAAGGGTAAGACCGAAGGCGCAAGTCCCTCCCACACTCGTTCGCACGCAGGAGGCGGGGTCGCGCGGCAGGAAGCAGGCGCAGAGAGCGCGACGCTCCAGGTCCCGCGCCCGAGGCCCGCTAGATTTTCCCTCCCGGCGCGCGCCGCTTACGTCACAGCCTCGCCTCTTCCCTCCTCTCACCCGCCCCCTCCACCCGCCTCGAGGTGACCCGGAAGTAGTATTTGCGACCTTGCTTTCCTTCTCCCACAATCCCTCCCGGTCTTCCTTTCTAACCCCGGACGAGCAAGGTGAGTGTGTGCGCTCGGTGCCGGCTGCAGGGATCCGGCGGCATCCTCGCCCCGGATTGTGTCGACTAGGACAGCGGGCTCTCTCCTGACCCGGCCCGGGGCCCCGCGTTCCGACGGCACGGGAATCTGCGCTGCATTTAAGGGCTCCCGGAGACTGGGAAAGAGAGTGGCCAAGCTTAGGGGAACCCGGGCCGCAGGGGTTTCCGGGGCGGGGGCACCTAAGGGGCGCGGATGCTTGGGCTGCGCGCGGTGGCCGGCTTGGCTTTGCCCAGACCTGGGGCTTCAGGGGCCTGGCCGGACCCTCTCCGAGGGCGGCTGCGTGAGGCCGGGCCGGGAGGGAGGACTTGGCTTGGGTTGTCCCACTCGCTCTGAGCCTCCTTGTTGCCTGGGCTTAGATGGCTCCCGCGAAGAAGGGCGGCGAGAAGAAGAAGGGCCGGTCCGCCATCAACGAGGTGGTGACCAGAGAATACACCATCAACATTCACAAGCGCATCCATGGAGTGTGAGTACCTCTGTGGTCGTCGATGCCTTGCTGATGGGGGTTCCCGAGATGGCGGTCTGGTTGTCCCTGGGGTCAGTCTAGTCGTCTGGATGCTGTGTGGTCTAGAAATTACGCATTTGTTCAAAAGCTCGTCTGTATTCCGTGGACAGGGGTTAAAGCGTAACGCTCAGAGGTTAATACCTAGACAAGATTAGGTTGCTGGGAGAGCCAACTTGGAGAAATACGGTAATGATAAAATCATTTCACTCTGTTTCGCAGTTATACCTTGGCAGGCCTGAAGGGTGAAAGATGTGTATATGAGGGGAAGCAAGCTTTTTCGATGTGTCTAGGCCTTAGTAAAGGTAACCAGTTAGCTAAAGCTGTGCCCGGCCCGGAATACGAACACTCCGATGGGCTTCCTTTAGTTCGCTGACCTCCGCAGATGCGTAGTAACATCGGTAAAGCTGTAATGCCGCAGTGCAGCTGCTGGAGGGACCAGCAAAGAGCGTATCGGTGGGGTTATAGGGCAGCGTTCGTGCCGGCGACACCTGGAGGTTGTGGATTTGTGAGGTGAAGGATATTGGGAACGATTTGGAACGTGCTGGTTCTTGGTTTTCGTCTCTGGGGTTTGGTTGTTTCCTGTTCTCAAGCTTAGCGAGGCTTCCCCTTTTTTCTGCACATGGTGCTTATTAGTGATAATGGAGACCAGACCTCTAATTGAATACTGTTTGGGGTATTTTTGATAGCACATGTTGCACTGCAGAATACTCTATTCGGGCGCCAGTCCGTGGAGCAGAATTTCCTGCGCTTGCTCGGGCAGCCTCGTACCTGGACGGCCCATTTTGTGAGGGAGCTCAGTGTGCAGCAGCGTCCGCGTTGGGCCTGGCGTTTCCGGCCAGGCGTTGACCGTGTGTGAGCCAAGGAGTGTCGTGTACGTGGGGTCTCGAGGCTTTTGGGTCAAAAGTCCCGTGCCTTTTTTGTGCATAGATGCTGCTGGTAACCACATTCTCTTCCCCTCACCCCTTAATTTGAGGGGCGTGCGTATATTCATTTGGGGAGCATATTAGGCACTTACTGTGTCTTGGGCTCTGTGGATTCAACAGGGAACCAGAGAGCCTGCCTTCCTAGTTTACTTAGTAGGGGAAGTTAGACAAGCATCCAGATACAAAGTGGTGAAAAGTTGCAGGTGGAAAGTAAGTCACAAGGTGAAAGGGGTGGTGTTTTAAAGGCCACACAGTTAGCGGACATTAGAAGAGTGGGTGTGAGGCATTGTGGGTGGGCAGGTTTTTCAGGCATTTTGTGCTTGGTTATAAGAGCCCTAAGTGAAGACCTTCACGGAACTAAAACCTTCGGTCATACTTGATGGGCAGCAGTTGACAGTTCTTTGTTCATTCTTTGTTTTACTTCCAAAGATCGCACAGTGGTGGTTTTCGTGCTTCCGCAGCTGCTGCCCCTCCCCAGTCTAGTCTGTTGTTACTCACAGCCCGTCCTCTTAACGTTGAGTCCAGGGCTCAGCCCCTCTAACTATGCTTGGTAACGGCGACTAGCTTTGGGGTCTCGCGTATCCAGCTGCTATTAACCTGTATACTTGGGTGTTTAAATGGGTATCTCAAAAATTTTACATGGCCCCACACCAAACTCCTAGCGTCCATCTCCACCCCCGACCTTCCCATTTCCCTGTGGCCTTCGCGGCAAGTGAGTGTGTCTTCTTGGCTCGGCCTTCCCCAGTCTGATCGCACTGGTCCCACCAGCGTTCTCTTGATGGTTGCAGTTAGCGGCTCCAGCTCCTGGCTCCCTCTTCCAGCCCCAGACACCCGGGCTGTTCTCAAGGCCCCCATTGGCTTCCCATCTTAACTCAGATGAGAAGCCAAAAGTTCTTGCTATGATTCCACATGGGTTGGCCACTTTCTTTCCTAATCAAAGCAGGCAAGTACCTGATTCAAGCTCGCAGTTTGGTTTTAGTTTTACCTTTTTTCCCCTGCCGTAATGCTTTTTCTATTAGGTAGATAAATGGTTGCCCTCATCACCTTTGGGTCTGGACTTCAGTGTCTCAGTGGCCATCTTACTTGAAACCTGCAGCCCCCTTCCTTCCCTAATGCTCCCTCTTTTCCCTGGTTTATTTTTCTCTGTGGCGCTTGATACCGTCTGACATACTCCATGTGTCAACTACGAAGGCTACGTGGGAAACGGGCTTTTGTCTGTTAAACCTACTGCTGTTCTCTCTAGTGCCTTGTATTTCTAGGTGGTTAAATATTTAAGTGAACCTTGCTTGATGGATTCAAGGAGGCTGGTGAGGGGTAGAGCAAAGGGAGCAAGGGGGGGACGTGGTAACTGACATGGCTCCTTCTGACATTCACAGTCCTGGGGTGGGGGAGGACACCCTTTAAGCTTCGGTCTCTGCCCCACTTGGAATAACCTTTGCTTATCCAAATGCTTGACCATTTCAGCCGGTAGTAAACTTCGGCTTTTTCACGTTTTGTGTTTAACTGAAAGCATGAAATTCAAAGGAATTTATGTATCCTCATCAAACAACAGGTTAATGGTGCCTGACACACGCCGAGATCCGCAGCGTCAACTGTTGCCCTTGTCGTGTTTCTTGAGAGGGAATTGGTACATTTCAGGCCCCTGCTCTTTAAGCGCAGACCAAGTTAATAATGAACCGTTAAATCCCATGTCTTAAGATGTGGCAAATAATTTAATAATATTTTGACCCGAGGACACGGTATTTACTTCTGTGTTCTTTATGTTCAAGCATATTCTAACGTCATTCTTAGATTATACTCTCCCTGGCAGATGGTATTAGACCTTGGGGGTGTTTTTGTTTTATCGGGAAAGGGTTGGCCAGTGTGTATATTAGCATCTCTTAAGGATCGTATACAGAGTCCTTGTTCTACATGACTGAAAGTAGATTGTGTGTCTTCTGTGTCCCACGTATTATAGTAGTTGCTGGGCATTACATAGTGGTGGAGGAAAGAATTGTTCCTGCCCTGTTCAAGGTTTAGTTTAGATTTGTTTTATGAAAATAGGACATGGTATATTGTGTATTTCATTTAATTTTGTACTTAATTGATTTATTTACTTATGTTTGAATCTCAGGGGTTTCAAGAAGCGTGCCCCTCGGGCACTCAAAGAAATACGGAAATTTGCCATGAAGGAGATGGGAACTCCGGATGTACGCATTGACACCAGGCTCAACAAAGCTGTCTGGGCCAAAGGAATAAGGTACTCAAGTTGTCTGTGTTATAAGATGAACTTTCACAATTCCACTAGCTAATGCACATGGAGGTATAAAGAAAATAACTGACTCAGAGAGTGGGGTAGTATCTGCAGGGAAGCCCTTTGAACTGAGACCCAAATGACGTAGGAGCCAGCAGTGTGAGGGTCAGGTAAGAGCATCACGCAAAGCGAGAACAAACTTCAGTGACTTGGGGACAGAGGTTGGTGAAGGTGGAGCAGGTTGTACGGCCTGAGAGCAGCGGCGGTGGAGAGTTAGGCAGGGGACAGAGGTTGGTGAAGGTGGAGCAGGTTGTACGGCCTGAGAGCAGCGGCGGTGGAGAGTTAGGCAGGGGACAGATCTTGTAGGCGGTGGCACAGAGGTTGGATTTCTGTCTGCACGTATACTGGGAAGCCGCTGGGGCAGAGTTGCTGGGGGACGGGGGCGTTTTGGTTGTCAGTAGTGGGGGGTGGTCACGGGCCAAAGATTCTGCTAAACATTGTACCGCGCACAAGGCAGGCCCACGTACACGCAAAAGCAAGTATCCAGCCCAAGTATCAGTAGTGCCGAGGTTAAGACCTGCTTATAAGCAGGGGGCTGGTTTTGCTGTGGAGGACGGTGGAAGTGGGACCGGCCACGGGGCGTGGAGCTGGCGGGGACTAGGTGATGTGTAAGATGAGTGGGGGGGGGGGGGGGGGGGGTGTCGTGTAACATTGGAGTCCGAGGCGGTGACAGGGACCTGAGATTCAGCCCTGCAGTAGGCTGGCATTGGTGCCTGTGAGCTCCCTTGAGATAGGGGAGGAGTGGTATGGCATGAGCCGAGAGAAGTTTCAGGACACCTTCTGTCCTTGGATCAAGAAAAGGTGGGGATGCAGTCGCCTGCAGTGCTGCTGAGAGGTTGGCCGAGCCCGGAGGAGGAGCTGTGTGGGAGGCGGGGAGCTGAACCTTCAACAGTTGCACGTGCTCGGTATATATAGCCTGCAGGGTCAGTGCTGCCCCAGCGTGGCAGTGGTGGCTGCCTACTGACACTAGTACGTCCTGACACCAGCGTTCTCTCTTTTTCAGGAATGTCCCATACCGTATCCGTGTGCGGTTGTCCAGAAAACGGAACGAAGATGAAGATTCACCAAACAAGCTCTATACGTTGGTTACCTATGTACCTGTCACCACTTTCAAAAGTAAGTTCTACTTCATCCCACAAAGCTGTTTAAGTCCTCAGCCTTTTTATAACCTGAATTCATTTGTTCAAATACTGTGCACCCATATCCCTGGCATCCTTCCAGTAGGGATATAAGCTACAGGCATAATCGGTAAACCTTTTTTAAATTGTGTCATGGTGTGGGAAAATGCAAAAGGATACAGAATAGGTCTGTTATCTGGGTTGTGAAAGGTCACGTGGAATAGTAACATTTACCTAAACCCTTGAAGAAAAGGTTCTTGGGGTGTGAAAGTATGGGACGGGGTGTGTGGGTGTGGAAGGTGACGGGCTGTCTTCTTTTGCAGATCTACAGACAGTTAATGTGGATGAGAACTAACTACTGATTATCCAATAAAGTTACAGAGCTGCCTTCGCATCTTGATTTTCCTTTTCTAGTTGCAGGTAAAATAGGCTTGTCTATTTTAAAGCAGTTCCCAGTTACAGGAGCGTTTGGAGAGTGTTTCCTAACTGCTGTGCCTGGGCCCCTTCTCCCCATTCCCTGGAGTTTCTGGATATTTGCACAGGGCCTAGGCAGGTGTTCTGAGGTGCTTTTTAAATGCATCCTGGCTTGGTTATGGCTGTTCAGGTGGTTGGGACACTGGGGGTATGATGTTAATGCTTTTACAGGTGTGTTTTGTGAATTCTAAGATAACATTTTTCCAGGCACTGGCATGTAGAACTTAATTGCCACTTTTAACATGCTAAAATGGTACACTTTGGATATTCTTAGATTTAATGAAGTATGTACAGTTCCTCACTTACTTGTGGTGGCCCCGTGAGGTGTTTTTAGTCCTGGTTTACATGGAGTTAAAAGCTCAGGGGTAACCTTTCTTAAAAGGTTGCTAACAGAGTCTGCTAAATTCGGCCTGAAAGCAGGGTGTTGCAGGGATCATATTTCATCAGTGCTTGTACCACTGATATGAATAAAATGCCAGAAAGAGGTCCCCTTTTGAAGCCCTGGTGATGACAGTAGTGGGTTGGGGGCTACCTGCAGTGTAGTGTACTATCCGCCGGGAACATGGTGGGGCAGAGGGACCTCCAGGGTATCCATTCACTGGCGCAGTCCAGACCTCAGACGCTGAAATAAGTAAAGATATAAACAGACCAAGTCAATCCAAAAATTTCTTATTAAAAAAACTTGGAGGCCAACATTGAAAGCGTGGTTTGTACACATTTTTTGGAAGGACACAAAGTGAATACAACAAATATATTAAAATGGTTTCAATTACCAGCATTGAAACGAAATTAGTGCAAAAAAGCCAAATACAATTGCACAGATAGTGGCTCTTAAATCTTGAAAGTGAACTTGATTCTCAGTCCCGCCCATGTGAAGTGAAGGATGAGTGCTTGGGCTTTTCTCCTCTCTGGGTTAGTATCATACATTTGACTTTCTTATATTCCATCTGAGAACAAAATACTAGCATCACAGCAGAAGTGCCCTTTACAGCAAATCTGGTAACAGTGAAGTTGCCATAGCATCAAGGGAACTGATGTGAGACACTCTCTAGCAATGACAGTGTCCAACTGAATTCTCTTAAAGAATAGATAGGAACGCTGGAGGGTTGCATCAGTTCCCCACCCCCCACCCCCCGCCACACACTTGTGGCTGTCAGGTTGCTTATCCGGATGCCCAGCTTGTAAAGTGTACTCACAATGAACTAGACAAACCTAGATTTAGGGGCTGACAACCCACAAACCTGGACTGTGCTTTGGTATGGAGACTGGTCTCAAGCCAACTGCTGTCCTGCTACGGGCTACTCAGCTTGAGTTCAGGCTGTGATTGGCGGTTCATTGCACAAGTTTTGAGGCTGTACTGATTGATCTTGGCATTTTCAAGTTTGGATTTAATGTCCAGTGGCTTTTCAAAAAAGTTGACTAGTGACTGTTCAGTCAGAAGTGAAGCTAAAATATGTTCAAGGGAGACAGTCCAGTCCCCTTGTGCCGCTTCAGGAAATGCCTGGGACTCTCGGGGGCTCTTCCCATTGTGGGTGCCGGCAAACACCGAGTCCTGCTCAGGAGAAGGAACCGGAGCCTGCGGCTCCTCCCCTGCTTCCTGGGAGCAGCTTCCAGAGCTGCTGCCCCGCTGCCCCACTTCCCCGATCTGCAGCAGCAAAGTGGTTACCGTGGCGATGGCTTGATACAAATCATTTTCTTCTGGATCTTCATGGAACATACTGTACAGTGTTTTACAGAACTGGATAAATTCTCTCTGGAATTGAGAAAAAACAAGTCTGCATGTAGCAGCGTAACAACAATGGAAGCATATCGTGGGCTTTTTTCAAACTTAATACCTAGTTCTTTGAAAAAAAGCCACATAGTACTTTTTGAAGGCAGAAAATAAGAGGTATTCTCTGCCCTTCCATCATACTGAAGACACACCATTAATAGTCCAGGGGATTTCAGCACACATGTAGACTTGTGCTGTCTATACAGAAGTGTTGGACCCTTTAACCCAGCAAGACAACTAATGTATTCAAAAGCTGTGCACAGAGATTTGTTTATAAGGACGTTTAGGCTAGGGTTTATTATAGCAAAAGGTTGGAAACAGCCTAAATGTTAAGATTGAATGAGATTATGATTTGGTAATCTGCTGGGAATGCCAAGCAGCAACTAAAGGCCATTAAATGAAGTAGAACAGTGATGCCTGATGCTTTGTCAAGCTACACACATACTCCTGCCCAAACAGAATCTTTATGTCGTGTGATAGAGGTACCGCAGGTGGAACTTAGCTGCACAATTACTCCAGGAATAGGAAAAAGGTTGAGCTACTAATTTAGTGTTTAATGACCCGGGAGAAACATCCCTGATTGTTAACTGAGGTATGACTGACAACACTGAGATTTAACTGACTTTATATCCAAAGAGTAGAATATTTGAAAGCAACTCAACAGAGTTGAGCAACACTTTGTTTTGTGGGGAAAAAAAAAACAACGCTGCTAAAGGGGTTTGAGTCCTATAATAAAGGGACGTTTTCAACTTGAAGCCTTATCAGGACAGTATAATATGTAGTCAGTGATTTTCAGGAAACCAGAAAGAGTACACTATTACATGAAGAATGCTGTATACACGTTCCCGCAAATAGCTTCCATCACTCTAGGGCATAAATCTGCATCACAACCTGGTAAATGAATTTGATATAAAAACTTCAGGGACTCCCCTAGCGGTCCAGTGCAGGAGGTCCCTGAAGAGACTCCACACTCCCGATGCAGGGGGCCCAGGTTCGATCCCTGGTCAGGGAACCAGATTCCACGTGCCACAACGAAGATCCCATGTGCAGCCAAAATTTTTTTTAATTCTCTTATTAAAAATTAAAAAAAAACTCTTCAAAGAATGAAGTGTGTGGCAGCCTCCTGAAGAGCTCTGGGTATCTGGACAGCTGAATGGATCACAGTTTAAATGTTTCCCATTTACACATCACAGTGCTCAGCTCCCAGAAGTTATAAGGTCTTTCTTTGATTATAGCTCTGGAGGTAACGGGGGAGGGGGTGCAGCTGGATTCAAAAGCCTACGTCTGAACCGGTCGCTCGGCAAAATGGTGAGCCCTCTGCGCAGAATACAGTCCATACCTGGCTCATTTTGGGCAGCTCCTTCTCGGTTTTGTCTTTCTCTTTGGCTAAATCTTTAATCATTTGCTTCAGCTGTTTTTGATAATCAACTGCATCACCTTGAGACAAAGGAGACAACACATGCTTTAGTCCAAGCAAACTCCCTGAGAGCAGACGGGAACTAGGCAGAAAGGAATGGTGAGGGGATGAGGAATTCCACTAAGCAAATGCCGTATATGCAAACTGAAAAGCAGAGACCAGAAGTCTTGTTTTACAGAAAGTGGCCACAGACAGATGATGGTGGCCGAGTTACCTCTTGCTACAAGAGGAGCCCTGAAAGATGAAGAGGAATAAAGTGGTGGTGGCGTTGAAGGCAGTTTGGAAGGTTTCTGGCCCCTGAAAGCAGTGGTCTCAGTGTTAACTCCCAGGCGGGAGGGAATAGATTAGTCTGCTTCTAAGAAGAGCCGTGAAATCCGTTGCCCTTAACCACTGCAGTGCTGTGCCTGACGGAAGATAATGAAAAGAGGTATGTACCACTGGACTTGCCAAAAACCAGGGGTCTTGACGTCGACAACAGAGGATTCTTCAATGGTGACTGGCTGTCTCGGTCATTTTCAGTGAGTGCTTTTAAAAAAAAAAAATAAAAGTTTTTAAAAATTAAATTGAGGAAATTGTGTCTTAACCAAAACTGACAGAGTAATTTAGCTTTTAAGGTAAGAAAACTAAAGGTGAAGCTAGGAGCCCCCAGCCTGATGGCCGTAGGGTCTTCCCAGGGTCGGTGAACCCTGTGTACTTCAAGAAAACATCACACATCAGTAACGCCTTTTCCCAGATGTCTGTAGATGTGATGATATACAGGTTCACAGGACATTGCTGATACTGACCTAGAAAAGTGTATGTGTGGTAAAATCCCATTTTGTCAAACTAAATATAAGTATATACATGCACACATGGAATTCTAGAAATAAATACACTTAGATTTCTGGATGGTGAATTAACAAGTAATTGCTTTAAACTGAGGGGTTTTTTTTTTCAGTAATTAGCACATACTGCTATACTTACATAACTTCTAACAAAAACTGAAAAAAGCTTAAGTGAAAGCAGCATGTTACCATTATGTGTGTTCTTGAAATATACAAAAATACAATTACATCAGAACCCTCACACACTGCTGGTGGGAATATAAAATGGTATAGCCATTTTGGAAAAGTCTTGCAGATCATCAAAAACTTGCCATTTTTACCCAGAAATTCTACTCCTAGGTATATATCAGAGGGAAATGAAAACATATCCACTCAGAACCTGTACACAAATGTTCACAGCAGTTCCAAAGAGCCAAAAAAGTGAAAACAAACCCAAATGTTCATCAAGTGATGAATGAATAAATTGGGGGATGCCCACCGGAGTATCACTTCGGCTGTAATAAAAGGAGTAAGCACCAACACGCCACACCACGGGCGAGCCCTGAAGACATACTAAGAGAAAGTGAGACACAAAAGGGCACGTACGGCATGACTTCATATGGTATGAAAAGTCCAGAATAGGCGTATCTACAGACAGGAAGCAGGGGCGGGAAATGTGTGGATTGGGGACAAGAGCTAAAGAAAGGGCACAGGCTTGCTTTTTGGTGTGAAAATGTTCTAAAATTGTGATGGTGGTTGTGTAACTGGATATACTAAAAAACATTAGACTGTACACCTTGAAATGTATGGTATGTGGATTACAGATCAGTAAAGCTGTTACCAAAATTATAAAAGGGATTGCAGATGAAGGATCCTCATTTTTAAAAGGCTGAAACTTAATAGCCATTCACTGAGAATAAATCAAAGGCAAAATTCTGTTGTGATCCAACAAATATCCACAAGATGGCACCAAAGCCTTGATTAACCTACCCTCCTTCCTACTTGGGAAGCAGGTTCCTGGGGTTTGGAAGGTGGGAGGCTGTTTGGGGTGGTTTCTTTTGTTTTTTCTGTTGGTCCTTCTTTTTTTTAACAAAGTTATTGAGTCGTTTTTTTCCAACTTCACCCAAAACATTCTATTAAGTGGCACATGTGAGAATCCACTCAAACTGAATAGGAGGAAAATTACAAACCCTGGATGGCACGTGGGGCAGTCACGATAGAAATGGCTTCCCAAGTAATACCCGCTGGGATGTCTAGCGGATACTGGGTCCCTATCCTCAAAGAGCTCAGCGTATCAAACAGAAACATGTACAGAAGTCACTCTAAGAAGATGCTCTAACAGAAGAACCAATACACACAAATATCATGAGAGCACAGAGAGGAACGATTAATTCAAGGGGTGGGTGAGTGTCCAGAAAGGAGCCAGGTCAAGTGCCAACAGTGACAAGGAGCCAGAAAGGCCAGCCAACCTCTCTCCAGTCCCTGCACACAGAAAGCACCAGCATCCGGACTGGACACGGGACAGTGGAGTCTTGGCGCTCATTGGAAAACACTCATGCTCCTATCTATTCCTATCAGAAATGTAAGATACAGTGCATAAGGAAAAACAGTAAACACTGAGCGTATACCACCTTTAAAAATGTACTTTCAACCTTTTAAAATGAGATATTTGAGCTTTTATAAATGTAACATTTTTACATTCCAATATATGTGTAATTCATAATTCAAGACTAAGTGGATTGAGAGACAGTTCTATTAAAGCTTTCACCGTGTCTCACTTCAAATTCTGCACGTGTTAAAACTGGATGAAGGATCTGTATTTGGTTATCTTGAAGCTCCCAATCTCACATGTCTGTGTGACTGGTGGGTAAGTACATCGCTTCAATAGACACAAGCACGACACCCTCCTTACGGCTTCAAGCACTTTCATTAGTTGGTGCACATCCTCATTCCCTGTAACACTGTCGCCATCACCGCTATCTCAGCACTTTCTAAATGGGATGCTTGTGGAGGGAAAAAGCCAGTTCCACTGAAAGTTGCTTCTCTCTGGCAGAAGAGTACATAGCCTGCTTTCAACACAATTTGGCCTTCACACACAGTTGACACCACACTCATCAAAATAATAACCATTTTCCAATATATTTTCTTCTTGGAAAAGCCATACAGTGCCCCCCTTCTACCCCTCTATGTAGGCTAGAAACAGCAATCAATTTCTGAGGGAACAGACTTGCATTTGGATTAATTAGGAATTCCAGTATAACCAAGTCATTGATAGGAAAACCAAACAAAGTATCCAACTTGTGTCTCAGATATCTACTATAAGAAAGTCACCTGAGCTGCAGCAAGTACTGGATGCTGGGACCATAGATCCCATTTTAGTGGCTTAACAATTTGGACGACACTAGGGATCTTAAGCACCTAGCTTTTCTCTTTTAAAAAGCTCAGTGCAATCTTTAAATTTCACAAAACGTTTCTCAGGAGGTTTATATACTACACTTTTCATATTTTGCAAAACCCTCAAGTGACATTTTCAACTCAGGATCCCAATACAAAGAACAGACTTTCATCTAGCCTAAGCTGTCTTTCACCAAATCAGATGTGCCTGGTATCACTTCTGATGTAGCTGACATCAGTACTGCCTAAGTTATTAGATGTAAGCTATCATTTTTGGATCCTGTGATAAGTTAACCTTTGTTCGAACTTTATTAGATTCAGCATTTTAAGAACGTCAGTTAATGTGGATCCAGACCAGCAGGGACACCTTTTGGGGAGCTGCTCTGCAAGTCCAACAATGTATTTCCTGAATCCCAGAGCTTCCAGGAGGAGCAGAACTGTGCTAGCAGCTCCACTCACAGTGTGCTGTCTTTACAGGAAGCCTCCAATGCCTCATTCGTTTGTGTTAATTTACCAATCCTGATGTGTCATTCTTGGTAGCTTGTTTTGATGCTGCTTCCTAATGAACCTAATGTTCTTCCAGGAAATGGTCTTCTGGATGTCCAATTAGTGTAATTAGCTGAGTGAAATGACCAATACTTACAGATTTAGCAATTTCCGGTGAAAACTCCTGATTCAGTAGTCTAGAATACTGTTCATCCCTCCATCACCTGATCTGGTGTCGCATCCTCTGGAACATTTCTCTTCTGTTTGCTAAACAGTGCTGTAGTCACCATGGAGCCAATGAACTGAGCTCTTCAAAAACTGCGAGGCCTTGGGCTTAGGGCTTCTTTGCTTCCCGAGATGCATGAGATGCATCACCTTTGCAAGTGATCTGACAAAGCCCTCTGCCTCCTGTTTGACCCTGCAGAGTTCCAGCGCTCTCTGCACAAGGCGGGTGTTTGAGGCCAGAGGCTGGTGTGCTTCGTTTGGTTTTCCACCTCCCATCAGGGAAATAAGACATCACTCTTTGGGCACACAAATTCAAACCTGTAATCCTCAGTATACTTCCTAATGAGTGAGTTAAGCTTTTTTCCCCACTAGTGTGTTTGTTCCACCTTTAATCAAAATGTTATTCATGAGGGTGGAAAGTAAATATCTGTTAAAATTAAATCTATTTAAATGAAAAGTGTCTAAATGTATTGTGGATCTTCATGGCCCTGTCAAACTGATGCATTTAAATAGAGGTTTTAGGTTGTCTGCATTCTTAAGACTTTTTTTTTAACTGCATCAAAAATTCAAATATTAAATATAGGTAAGCAAGGGAATGTAAATTGCTAGAGCCACTATGGAGGTTCCTTAACCTAAAACTAGAGTTACCACATGATCCAGCAGTCCTACCCTTGGCATATATATCTGGAAAAGACAAAAATTATAATTCGAAAAGATACATGCAACCCCAATGTTCACAGCAGCACTATTTACAATAGCCAAGAAGACGTGGAAGTAACCTAGACGTCCATCAGTAGATGAATGGCTAAAGAAGACGTGGTGTGTATGTGTGTGTGTACACACACACGCACTGGAATATTAGCCATAAAGAAGAATGAAATACCATTTGCAGCAACATGGATGGACCTAGACATGATCATACTAAGTGAAGTAAGTCAGAGAAAGACACATATGATATCACTTATATGTGGAATCTCAAAAAATAATACAAATGAACTTATTTATAAAACAGAAACAGACTCACAGACATAGAAGACAAACTTACGGTTCCAAAAGGGAAAGGAGGGGGAGGGATGAATTGAGATTTTGGGATTAACAGATACACACCACTACAGTATATATAAAATAGATAAACAACAATGATTTACTGTAGAGCGCAGGGAACCGTATTCAGTATCTTGCAATAACCTATAATGGAAAAGAATCTGAAAAAGAGTGTGTGTGTGTGCAAATTAAGTGAAAAACAAAACTCAATGAAAGGCAAGGAACTTTATGATGCCCAACCGTCTGTACTAAAGCAATGAGTCCGTGAGAAAGCAGAGCGGGAGCTGCGTGTGGCTGCCAGAGGGTGTTTCCATAAGCATCACGTGCACGACAGATGCCAACTCCATAATGGCTGAGCTCAGGAAGTGTACTCAGGGAGCCCACAAGTAATGTCCACACACATTTTCAACTTCCGTATAGGTGTGAGTTTTAAAAGCCACCTGGATCTCGTGGACCTGGAAACCTCACAGCTCGCCACCTCCCCAGGGTCCCTTGTTAGAAAGTTCTATCAGAGAAACCGTCCAACACCAGAACCGTGGGGTCCAGAGACCCTCTGGGATTCCTAATCTACCT